TCTGTCTCTCATTCTATTAATGTTCGAGAATGTACGAATGCAGGATTGGAATTTGAATAATATTATATGAGTTCATTTTACATGACCTTTTCAGAAAGAGAATAATGTGATGTATATGCGTCACTGAGATGATTTCCTTCGAGCATTTCTTTTATTAGTATCACGTAAAAGAATGCATAGCTTATGTCTGTACCATTTATTTTGGAATACAAACCTTACACCATGCGGTATGCACTTCACCCTAAACCTCTTAGAAATGTAACAAATACAAACCAGCATTTCGAGAAAGCAATTGCTAAATATCTTCAGCTATTGTTTAGATGTGTTGTGTGGTACGATGTGTGAGAGTTTGTGCGTGCGGGAGAGCGTGTGTGTTTATGTTCATTAACACACAAAGTTTGGCTCCAACACAAAGGAATATCTATAAGGAAATAAACGGATAACAGCGGGTGTTATCAGTATAAATATTATTGTTAGTACTGATAGTCGTCATGGTAACACAATAGTATTAGTAGTTACCAAATGAAATGCTACAAAATTAGTCGTCAGTATCACCAATAACCAGACCCAAGAAAAATACCTTGCAATTCCGAAATAACTGCCATTTTACCGCCAGTAAATTCATTCATATATGGTATTAGGCTATTAGTAAATTTGTGTGGGCAGTTATTGGTACTATCCTCTTATTTAATGTCTTTGTGTATGTGTGTGCGTGCGACCCTGTGTATTGTACGTATGTATGAATGGGTAGAACCTTGATAATTAACTTTGATATAAAACTATGTACACTGAGACCCAATTCTTCAAATGCATCCAATTTCTTTTAAGGAATTTTCGATAACACTTTTGAACGTACGCTTCGACAAGGTCAAATGACTGTGGGATTTTGAAGCAAGACAAATTGAATAACAATTAGATTAATAAATATAGGGAGAAAAGTAATTAGATAAATGAATAAATCAGTAAATAAGTAAATGGATAGGTAAGTAAACAAACAAACACATTAGATAAAAAACAACAACAGAGGTTAAAAAGAGACAGATTAACACGTCTCTAGTAAAAACTTTCTAGAACATGAAAGACGAACCCCCGCCTTTGGTATTACCTGCCATTCTGCCTCTCAATCCCGTTGATTTTATAAATAATGCAAAAATCTCACTGATCGCCAGCGCTTTGGCATACTGCACAGGACGAATATTTGGCAGTCTGAAGCATTAACGGTGACAATGGGATAAAAGGTTGTTGTCTATACGGCCATTATTTTTATGGGTTGTCTCAGGAACAGCTCTCAAAGTATTAGCTCGGAAGGTCAAGTCATTTACATAAATCAAGATTTTGAGAGATTGGTTTAATAATTGTTGATTAACACTGCTATGTTGCTATGCAAACTGCACATACCGAGACATTATTGTATAAATAATATTTGTCATTCAAAACTTACTTCAGAAGAAATGAGATCAATTACTTAAACTTGAAATCAAGCAAGAGAGAGAGAGAGTCTCGAAAGAGTGCGAAAGAACGAGAGAGAGAGAAAGAAAGGAAGAAGAAAAAACCCTCATCGCCGACCAGCTCACACACCAAACGCCAGAATTACTAAATATTACTTTTATTACACAATAGCATAATAACAGTCTAATAGTATTCTTACTTTCAGAGATGGCGATCCAAAGTACCCACTGTAAAACATCCTTTGCAGTTACAGAAACGCATGATACCCATGACCAATTTCCTGAATCACTCAGAAGCAGAACTGGCTTGCCGAATGGGAATGCAACAAAAATGCCAACAAAAAAATATTTTAATAAAGACACGTTTCGATCCACTTGGCGCTCGCGGATATAACATGAATATCAAATACATACGGAAGAGAGAGAGAGAGACCTAGAGGAAATACGTACGGAGCAGCGCTCTTGTAATAATCCTCTGCATGATTTCTGACACATACCGTCCGCCTCCAACTAGTCCCCTTTGGAGGAAATACCCAACACAGGGAAAATCTCGTAGTGGGTTTTATCGCAGATTCAGTGGTAAAAAAAGTACTTCGGAAGTCTAGCAGAAGATGAGACAACAGCTTTGGAGTCTTCATTCCATCTTCATGGTAAAGAGTCAAGGCAAGCAGTAGGCTATGGTAGTTTTTCGGAGTGTTGAAACTCATTGTTTTCAATATTACTTGACATGACAGTTTAGCCTAAAATGTTTCCCGAAACATTCTTGATAGCATATCCGGGACATGCAGTTCTATACAAGTCACAAATATGTTGGTAGATCTGACGTAAGATAATAAGTGATTGTACTTACATATGCTCACAGCCAGTAAAAGTTCAATCCAGTGTCTTGAAACATATTAGCACATTTGAATATCTAAATTAAACATATTGATCATATATGCAGAAATATCTACAGCAATGTTTTGAGTATGTATCAGAACTTATCTACATATCGTGCACGTGGCCTACATTAAGTGTTTATTATAGCTCATGGGACTATGAATTGTTTATTTGCTTCTATAATATATAATATATATATATTATTATATATATTATATATATATATATATATATATATGTATGTATGTATGTATGTATGTATGTATGTATGTATGTATGTATGTATATTGATCTAGGCAGTTTTCCATTCTTTTGCCAGCGGTCCATAACAAGGTCATTAGTCTGAACGTCCAGCTTTTTGTTCGTTTTATTATAAAAATATCCTTTCGGAATCTATACAAAAATATATCGATTTAAAGAAACGTAAACATTATAGAAATGGAGACAGAATAGGTTATAGAAGATAATGAATGGTGGACATCGATGGTCAAAGAGTGAGTGGGTGCGATGACTGAAAAAAAGGCAGATTCCGGCACTCAGGGAGGAAATTATTTTCCAGGTTGAGAGTAGAAACTGTGTGGGGGCAGGCAGGGGCAGGCTGCGAGTACTGCTGGGTAGGGGCAGGGGCAGGCTGAGAGTAAACCTGGGCAGGGGCACTTGGGTACTGTGCCTCGCCCTCGAAGGTGACTGTGGGGTGGAAGCCGCTGGCGTCGGAGTAGTAGTCGACCCTCATGAGGCGAGAGTCAGGCAGCTGGACGTAGTAGCTGTCAATACAAATCATACACTCGTATCACATTTAAAAGAATACATACAGCTGGATTCATTTCCACTTGTTTTGATAGTAATTAATCTTAAAAAGTAGACGAGAGATATAAGTTGCATTATGTTTTGCGTAGCTGTTGGAAGGAAGCAGAAATAAAAACATTTCAAAATCCAGATCGACGTGGTATCTCCCCGCCTCACCTGCCCTGAGTGTTGTCGCCGTCGCGCTGTTCCCGTTGGCCGTAGAAGTTGCCGGAGTTCTGGTCGTTGACGTCCCACTGGAAGTTGTACTGGGCGGGCACCGACGGGTACTCGGGCTGCTGAACCACGGGCGCCTGGTAGTTGTAGCCGCCCTGGGGAGCCGCCCACGCCGCCGCCACCACACACAGGACTACTGCTGCCTAAACATTCAAAGGAAAAAACAGATTAAGTGTAGTGGTGATGGTCCTCCTGTATTCTGATACGCATTCTGTATATCCGCTTCCCAAATAGTCTGTACATTACAGAATAGAACTTGAATAATAACGCTTCTCTTCTCATGACCTTTAAGACTTTCTGCAGCTTACACTTGTACTATTACTTCTTAAATAGTTTTTTTCCGTTTCGTTTCCGTTATTAACAAAATGAATAAAACATAACTTTCGTGCATGTATAAAAGCTACCGCTCCAATGAGTACCTTCATGATTTCTTTGCTGGAGTATTGAGGGTGAACTGATAACCCGCTCAGCCTCCTTTCCTTTATATAGTCGAGCAGTGGCCAAAGGGGCGGAGCCTAATCTTCCCCATCGCAATGAACGAAGGACATGCTTTTGAAAAATGTATTTCTATTAATTTGTTTCATTTTATTTCATCTGTCTTCTGTTTTACGAGGAAGTACGAGTACAGGATTGTAAATGGGATAACCAATGCTATCTATGCGCTCACTTTACTCTAGAATAATGAAATTTCTTCACGTTATTAAGGTGTTATTAAGGTGATTTTCTTCGACCATTTATTATTATTATTATTAAGGTGATTTCTTCGACCTTTTTTTAAGAATAAAAAACTGCACTGTGTATAGAGAAATGGAATACATGTCAACTTCAAACTATAATTCAACAATGTACGACATTTCGAGAATCCAGTTACTGAATATTTTCAACTATTGTTTGGATGTTTGTGTGTGTTTTGTGTGTATGTGTATGTATGTTTCTGTTCAATTCCCTTATATTTTCGTTCATTCGGCTCCAACACAAATGAATATCTATGATGAAGTAAACTGACAATTGAAATTACTATTATCATTATCACTCTTATTCTTAGTACTAATAGTATAAATGGTAACAGCAATAGTAGTGAGCGAGAGAGTGAGTTACCACATCACATTCTACAGAATAGATCACCAGTATCACTATCAATTAGATCCAAGAAAAATACATTTGATCAAATTCCGAAATAACTGCACTTGATTTCGAATAAAAATACCCATACGCGCACTGGGGTGAAATGCGTACGTTCGTGGGCAGTTATTGGCATTTTTTTTTTTTTTTTCTTAGAAAGTGAGTGGTCGTTTTTTTTTTTTGTGTGTGTGTGTGTGTGTGTTGTGTGTGTGTGTGTGTGTGTGTGTGTGTGTGTGTGTGTGTGTGTGTGTGTGTGTGTGTGTGTGTGTGTGTGTGTGTGTGAAAAAATCTCGATAATTAATCTCCATGTAAAACTAGGTCAACTGACACAAATCTTTCACATGTAAAAAATTGATATAAAATGAATGGCTTATATAGAATGGAACGAAGAAAAATAATTCGAGTAATAAATAAATAGAGAAATGAATGGACAAATATACAAATAAGAAAATAAATTAGATGAAGAATAAGCAAATAAGTAAATAAACAGGTAAATCAGTAAGTACATAAATGCGTAAATCAGTAAATCAGTAGCTAAATAAATAAAAAATAAGATAATCAAATATATAGGTAAACAGATCATTATATAAATGCATAAATAAGTTTTAAAATATGAATGAATAAGTAAATAGATAAATGAATGAGCAAATTAAGAAAGAAAGAAAGAATGAATAAACGTCAACACAAATACCCTATTTAAGGAACACATTTTGTAGCGTACGATGCGCTATAACGAAGTCAAGAAGAACCACCTCCGCTATCACTCGTCTGTCGCATGTCCGCTGATTTCATAATTAATGCAAAAATTTCACCGATCGTTAACGCTTATTGGCATACTGCACAAGAAGAATGTTTGGCAATTTGTAAAATTAACGATCAAAAGGAGACATTAGGGTTGTTGCCTATACAGTCATTCATCTTATGAATGGTCTCAGGAGCTGTTTTCAAACGCTTCAGCTTGGAAGGTCAATTATTTGCGTAAATCAAGATTTTGTGAGAATGTTTTGATAAGGTCTGTTCAGTCTTCGCTATTTTGCTACATACGTTGCACACATCTAGAAATAAATCTCTAAATAATCTTTGTTACTCCAAAGATTATTTCATAAGAGGATATGAGATAAAATATTGTTTAGTTCATACTTCAGTACCTTATTCTTTCACTCCACTTAACCTTGAAATCATAAAAGGACTATAGAAATGTTGGCCACGAAAACGTAATCATCAGACATTTACCGTCTCTAGCATTAACCTTGGCTTAATTAAATAGCGTCGGAAGTATATACATATTTTTTTCACTATCTTGTATAGAATAGTAATTTTACACATTCGCTCACTTCCGAGACATCTACCCAAAATATCCAAAGTATAACATTTACTCGTAGAAAAACACGTGATACGTGAATCACCGTAAGGGAAAAAATAACAAAAACTAAGAAAGGAAGGAATGTAACTTCATAAAAAACATAAGATTATTGATTTTTTTTCTCGTTACGACTGCGACTGACGAATAATAAACACGTATGGTAATATGTGGTGAAGGTATTTCAGTGATAATCTCTTACGTGAAGTGTGGCGCATACCGTTCGATTCCAGCCAGTAACCATTTGAGGAAATCTCCAACATATGGAAAACAGAGTGACAGCGAAATCCACGAAGCACAGGGGCAGTATACACGTCCAATATATGGATTGTAAAGAGTGGAGGTTAATGCCACCTTCCCTGCTGATTCTGCTCTCTACCTGTGATACATGTACTCGGATATCACAATGGCAATCTTTATTATTATTTTACTCTTCTGATAGATGTCGACACAATACAGTAGGTATTAAAATAGAAACGAGTTCTTTTCTTTCTGTTTATTTTACCTGGCAGCGACTGTAAGCGTACGGTTAATAAATCGGTTGTTTGACTTCTGAGAAAGCAGTGCTGATAAGTATCGTTTATAATTTTATACTTTATGGATGTCCTGATAAAGAAGCGTGCTAAGGTTTCTTCGTTTTCCTCTCCTTGAAAAGTCACACTTCCTTCCTAAGTTGAATGTTACTTGGGTTCCATTTTTACTTCAGTGATGAAAAGTCTAAGGTTGCTGCCCGCCACTTTCCGTCCGATATGTTGGTGCTTGCAGTTTTAAGGGGGTTTTCAGTTCTGGTTGGATATCGTAAATTATTAGGTAATGATAAGAAAACGAAACTTGAATAGTATGAATTACTTTGAAAGACCTGTAGCTTCCTTTCGCCATACGAGTCCCGACAATGAAGATTAGAATTGTGTTATTAATTACAGCTTTCATACCGCTTGCCTGGGATCGGAATATTTTGGATATGAATCAGGTAAAGACGATTTAACATAAGGCCTTGTACACACGGCACTGCCCGGAACATTGATGGCAGCATGTCCGGGACATGCTAAAGACATAAATCTTAAAAAGTATTGGTAAGTGATCGTCCTCAGACTTACAACAAAGAAACGTCCATTTCAGTGTCTCGAAACATGTTCTCAGGTTCCAAGCGAGATATATCGCACATATGTGCAGAGTATTTTCAGAGCATGTGTACGTATCGTGTATAACGAAGTATAGATATTGTATGTATGCTCAGTACAGTTCTTGGAACAGAACTGGCCATGAATTGTTTATTTAATTCATATATGTTTTTTACTTTGATCAAGTTATGTTCCTTCCATTCAAAAGCAATCTATAACAAGGTCATTTCGTCAGTTTTATTATAAAAATATTCTCTCGGAATCTTTATAAAAATATATCGATTTAAAGAAACGTGTAAACATTACAGAAAAGGAGACAAAGTAGGTTGTAGAAGATAATGAATGGTGAATATCGAATCAGATCATGAAAGGTGTGCGATGACTGAAGGAAAAGAGAAGCAGATCCCGACACTCGAAGAAGGAAATCATTTTCCAGGTTGAGAGTAGACTGTGTGGGGCAGGGGCTGGGAGTACACCGGGCAGGGGGGAGCAGCTGGAGTACACCTGGGTAGGGCAGGGCAGGGCTGAGAGTAGACCTGGGCAGGGGCACTTGGGTACTGTGCCTCGCCCTCGAAGGTGACTGTGGGTGGAAGCCGCTGGCGTCTGAGTAGTAGTCGACCCTCATGCGGCGAGAGTCAGGCAGCTGGACGTAGTAGCTGGGGATGCAGAAGATATATCGCTTTTTAAAAGAATCCTGCTGACTGGGTTTGTTCATCATGAACATTGCAAGTCATGTCCTTGCCATATAAGAAATAAAAAAAAAGACTTCAAATTTATGTGTAATTAAAATAGTTGGGCCTGGCCCGGTAGGACCTTTCTTTGTGAAATGATCTCAGTATTTTCCGGTCCAGACTTACGACTATCTCCCCGCCTCACCTGCCCTGAGTGTTGTCGCCGTCGCGCTGTTCCTGTTGGCCGTAGAAGTTGCCGGAATACTGGTCGTTGACGTCCACTGGAAGTTGTACTGGGCGGCACCGACGGGTATTCGGGCTGCTGAACACGACTGGTGGTAGTATGTAGCCGCCCTGGGAGCCGCCCACGCCGACGCCACCACACACAGAACTACTGCTGCCTAAACAGCAGAGAAAGTACCAATAACGAAGTGATATATCTCTTTTCATTTTACTCTCATATGAATTGCAACTTACATTTTCTGGCCCATTCAGATACTATACCCACTTGGAAGAGAGCTTTACTATGTTCGCAATGCTTCTTTTTCCATCTATTTTTAAACTTTTAACTCTTTGCCATACAACGCTTTTTCACTCCCCTAAACATATATAGCAAGATCTTTATCATACTATTTCAGTGCATATTTAAAGTAAAGTTCTTTTTGAGCGCGAGTACCTTCATGTTTCTCCTTCGCTGGTCCGTTGGGAACTGATGCCTCGTCTCTGTTTTTTTTTTTTTTTTTTTTTTTTTTTTTTTTTTTTTTTTTTTTTTGGTAAATTTACCATCCAACTTGGGATGGAACGGGTTACGCTTTAGCCACCCGTGAGGTGTATCACTAAGTGATTCTTTAATAAAGGATTAACTTTATTTAGGGGTGACGAAGCATGAAAGCTTCGTCTCTTGAGTGGTTGTCAAACTGGCCGAAAGATCAGCCTTTTGGGAGTCAAACTCCCCAAACAGGAAGCAGCTGCCCGGAACACCAGACGGAAGCCGCCCATCTCCGACGATAGAAGGCGGGTCGTCCTCTTCCCAGATTGCCGCCAGGAACCGCTCAGCTACAACGCCCCGAAGCCGCGAAGCCCCTCACTGACGTCTCCTACTCCCTCGGTAAGGCTTGCTCCGGTGTTCTTTCACCGGAGCCAACCGAGGCAGCAACAGCTGTAAGTGGGGTGCAGGGCCCGTGGCAGAGGTCCTCCAACTCCGCCCTGACGCCTTACTAAGGCGCCTCGTACCCTACAGTAAGTGGCCGGCCCCGGCAAATACTAGCCAGAGCTTGCCGAACCTCAGGAACAGGAAGAGCGCCGCAAACAGCACCACACCGACGATGCGCCACGGCGAAGCAGCACCAGCAGGATTCCAGGAACGAAGACGGTGGTCGCCCCGTCACGCCGACGACGAAGCTTCCTCCGCAGAAGTCTAGGTAAGTGGCTCCTCCAGGTAAGGCAGAGGTGACTCTTCGGCGTGACCCATCTCCCGACGACCGCAGACATCACTAAAGCTGTCCTTCCTTAGACAGGGGGTTGCATCCGTAATTAAAGGATCTGGCTATAGTTGGCAGCTCGCGCGGGAGCCGAGTCGTCGTCCATTGGTGGAGAGAGCTGAAGAGATGTTATCGCTGCGGCCGCCGGGAGAAGAGTGCTCGTCTCTGGTTCCTTTCCCCTTATATAGTACGGCCGCCTGCCAAGGGGGGAGGGGGAGGGGCGTGACCTTTGCATCTTAGGCGAAGGTCTTTAATGAATCCACTCTGACGAGACAAACACATGTGGGATAACTGGCATTGCATCCCACCTTTTGAATTGGATTTACGTCCTGTGGATTTTTTAAGATTTTCTTTTTCTTTGTCTTTTTTTTCTCTCTTTGTATATAGTTGGCCTTGAGTCTGTGTACGGAAGGGTCTGGGTATAGTGACTTTCTCTCATTTGTCTGCAATTTAAGACCCAAACATTACTGGCATATGACAGAAATGCTGATATTGAAACGAAATTTCACTTATGCTCTTGTAATTATATAAAAAAATTGATCAGCAAATGAACAAGTGCCAAACTACAAACCATGGATGTGTTTACTGGGCATCTTGAACACACCATTTTTGCTTATGTATAGGTGTGTGATGTATGAGTATATATATATATAAAGAGAGAGATATACAGATGAATATTAAGATAGGTATATTATGTTTTATATGTATATACATATAAATGAATATATATATATATATATATATATATATATAAGAGAGGAGAGAGAGAGAGAGAGAGAGAGAGGAGAGAGTGAGAGAGAGAGAGAGAGATGTATGCATTTAGGTATATTTGTATATGCATATCTTATATTGTATATATAATGCATGTTATATATGTATGTTATATGATATATGATATGTATGTATATAATGTATATTATATATGTATGTATATATAGTATATATATGTTATATATTGTATATATATATGTATTATATGTATAATATGTGTATATATATGTATATATATTATATATATATGTAGTATATATATATATATATATGTATGTATTATATATATGTTATGTATATATGTAATTATGTATGTATTTATGTTATATATGTATGTATATGTATATATTATATGTATATATGTATATGTATGTATGTTATGTATATATATGTTATATATGTATTGTATATTTGCATTATATGTATGTATTATATATATATATTATGTATTATATGTATATATATGTATATATTGTATATATTATGTATATATGTATTATATAGTATGTATATATGTGTATATATGTATGTATTTATGTATGTATTATGTATTATATGTATGCATATATGCATATATATATATATATATGTATATATATGTATATATTATGTATATATATATAATATATGTATATATATGTGCGTGTGTGTATGTATGTGTGTGTTACAATATATATAACATACATATAATATGCATACATATATACATAACTATATACATATTATATATTTATATATATGTAGGTGTATGTAGACAGACAGGCTTACAGACAGGAAAAAACATCTCGTAATTATGATAGCTTTTAGGATACAAAAGGAAAGCTGAAACAGAAAAGTACAAAATATCGTGACGCTTCCCCTACTGAGGAGCCAGACACCTATTTGAAGGTTTAATGCTCCTTTCTTACCGAGGTTGTACAGCTGTAGCCCATGATGCTAAAACAGCTGATTTATAAATAATAGTTTTGATGTACGTTTTTCTTCTTTCATTTTTCTTTTTCTTCATAATTTAATCTTTACGTAACGACAAATGCCTTTTTCACGCATCTTGGTATTCGAAAGATAAATTAAATATAACTGATAATAAATATCATTCTGATTTAGGCAAAATAGCAATTGCAAACAAATATATTATGTAAATGTATTTGACTGCGATCCAATACAAATACATAAAAGTACTTATTGATTCTAGCATTTATCTAAATTAAGAGATACCGAATGAAAATATGATAATATCTTAATGGAATCTCGTTGTTCAACATTAAGTGGCTCTAATTTGCTTTCATTCTCTAAGGACATGGTACACATGTTACACCTTTTACTTCTCATACCATGTGTGTGTGTGTGTGTGTGTCTGTGTGTTCGTGTGTATGTGTGTGTGTGTGTGTGTGTGTGTCTTTATCTATTCATTCTTAATTTATTTACGCTTTTATTTATGGTTAAGAAATGTTCGAAAGCGCATTTTTGAAAAAGACGGCAGATAGTAAACAGCAGCAAGGCTAAATCGATGATGAGATTTTTATCGCAAACTATAAAGTGGAAGGACACGAAAGAGGAAGAGAAGAGGTACATAGAGAGAGAGAGAGAGAGAGAGAGAGAGAGAGAGAGAGAGAGGAGATGAGAGAAACAGACATAATTTGATAAGAGCAACATCAAAACAATATTTAATGAACACGCTCCATCACATCAAAGATAGAGAATATAAATGTTATCATAATTAGGCAAGAACATATTCATATTCTGTACCACATCAAGAAGATTCGTGTAAGGTATTATTCTCTCCTTCTTCCACCTCATTAATCACGCAGAATTTTTTATTCATTTTTGGCGTTGGTTGATCGCCTGTGTTTAAGGGCATATTGTACTAAATTCCTGGCAGTTTGTACCATTAACGATGATGGTGGAACAAGTGTTTTCCTGCCCGTACAATCATTATCGTTATGGGTGGGTTCAGTAAGAGGCTGACTTTCAGAGGTCAAATTATCTTGGGGAGGTCAAGTTATCTTGGAGAGGTCAAATTATCTTTATTCATTAGGGTTTACTGAGAAACTGGCTTTGGTTAAAGTTTCTTTTCTTCATAGGATGTGTTATTTTGGTCTGCAAGCCATGAAGGATGATATAAATACACACACGTAAACATAAACTGAAAAACACATTCGTACACAAACACACACACGTAAAGGCACACCCATCCACCCCACACACACGCGCGCGCGCGCACACACACACACACCACACACACACACACACACAACACACACACACACACACACATACTCACAAAACCATAGATATCTGAAAACAACTGTCGCTTGCTTTAAATGCAATTGATTTATTCTCGATTATCTGAAGACTTGAAAGATCTTAGTAGAAAATAGATACTTTTCGATTTAGTTCACTCACGCGTACGAAAGCACCAGTGTTTTAAATGTACGTGTGCTGCATTTTTTTTTTACCTATGAAATTTATCTCACGGGCTGTTCATCAAGATAATTTTTGCTATATCGTCCTTTTTTTTTTCATTCCTTCTACATGTATAATGCACGTATGCCCTGTGTTAGTTCTTGTCATTCTTGTCCTTTTTATTATTCCTTTTACATGTAATACATTCTTAAGGGGATTATAAAATAACGCACGTTAGCCCTGTGTTAGTTCTTGTCACGATATGACACCGACGCAGTAAATTATTTTTTTAACTGCACAAGTTCTACAGCGAAGTGGCAGGTTTGCATCCCGGTCTTCATAAAGAAATTACTCGCGAGACACAGACAAGTACTTAAAATATTCGAAACACAAAGGGGTACAATTGATGAAGCTGTACTGTCAGTAAGGGTGATTTAGCGGTATGAAAAGTTATAGAAAACTCATGATATCTTTCCTCTGCATTCTGGTACCGGTGGAATCTATGCGGTTGACTTCATGTAAGAATGCTATGATTTCCGTCACATTGGATACCTTTCCTTTTAACATTCTTAGAAGACATATATGTGGGGTAAAAGTACTGAGCGGAAATCGAGGTCCTATGAGTATCAGTAATTATCTGAAAGGGAGAGGCGGAAATCTCGTACTTTGGCCTGTCATAGTGCACCTTATGACAAGCTTCTCTATGATTTGTCAAGTGGATGAATAAGTATTGTACCTAATACGGTACTCGAGTTGGTTCATCAAGTGTTGAAATGTCCGCTGATTTCATAATTAATGCAAAAATCTCACCGATCGTTAACGCTTATTGGCATACTGCACAAGAAAAATGTTTGGCAATTTGTACCATTAACGATCAAAAGGAGATATTAGGGTTGTTGCCTATACAGTCATTCATCTTAGGGATGGTCTCAGGAGCTGTTTTCAAACGCTTCAGCTTGGAAGGTTGTGAGAATGTTTTGATAAGGTCAATTATTTGCGTAAATCAAGATTTGGGAGAATGTTTTGATAAGGTCTGTTCAACTGTCTATGCTATTTTGCTACATAAGCTGCGCACATCTAGAAATAAATCTCTAAATAATCTTTGTTACTCCAAAGTTTATTTCATAAGAGGATATGAGATAAAAATATTGTTTAGTTCATACTTCAGTACCTTATTCTTTCCACTTAACCTTGAAATCATAAAAGGACTATTGAAATGTTGGCCACGAAAACGTAATCATCAGACATTTACCGTCTCTAGCATTAACCTTGGCTTAAATAAATAGCGTCGGAAGTATATACATATCTTTTTTTTCACTATCTTGTATATAATAGTAATTTTACACGATCCTTCACTTCCGAGACATCTACCCAAAATATCCAAAGTATAACATTTACTCGTAGAAAAACACGTGATACGTGAATCACCGCAAGGGAAAAACTAACAAAAACTAAGAAAGGAAGGAATGTAACTTCATAAAAAACATTAGATTATAGATTTTTTTTTCTCGTTACGACTGCGACTGACGAATAATAAACACGTATGGTAATATGTGGTGAAGGTACTTCAGTAATAATCTCTTACGTGAAATGTGGCGCATACCGTTCGCTTCCAGCCAGTCCCCATTTGAGGAAATCTCCAACATATGGAAAACTCAGAGTGACAGAGAAATCCACGAAGCACAGGGGCAGTATACACGTCCAATATATGGATTGTAAAGAGTGGAGGTTAATGCCACCTTCCCTGCTGATTCTGCTCTCTACCTGTGATACATGTACTCGGATATCACAATGGCAATCTTTATTATTATTTTACTCTTCTGATAGATGCCGACACAATACAGTAGGGATTAAAATAGAAACGAGTTCTTTCCTTTCTGTTTATTTTACCTGGCAGCGACTGTAAGCGTACGGTTAATAAATCGGTTGTTTGACTTCTGAGAAAGCAGTGCTGATACGTATCGTTTATAATTTTATACTTTATGGATGTCCTGAAAAAGAAGCGTGCTAAGGTTTCTTCGTTTTCCTCTCCTTGAAAAGTCACACTTCCTTCCTAAGTTGAATGTTACTTGGGTTCCATTTTTACTCCAGTGGTGAAAAGCCTAAGGTTGCTGCCCGCCACTTTCCGTCCGATACGTTGGTGCTTGCAGTTTTAAGGGGGTTTTAAGTTCTGGTTGGATATCGTAAATTATTAGGTAATGGTAAGAAAACGAAACTTGAATAGTATGAATTACTTTGAAAGACCTGTAGCTTCCTTTCGCCATACTAGTCCCGACAATGAACAGAATTGTGTTATTAATTACAGCTTTCATAACCGCTTGCCTGGGATCGCAATATTTTGGATATGAATCAGGTAAAGACGATTTAACATAAGGCCTTGTACACACGGCACTGCCTGGAACATTGATGGCAACATGTCCGGGACATGCTAAAGACATAAATCTTAAAAAGTATTGATAAGTGATCGTCCTCAGACTTACAACAAAGAAACGTCCATTTCAGTGTCTCGAAACATGTTCTCAGGTTCCAAGCGAGATATATCGCACATATGTGCAGAGTATTTTCAGAGCATGTGTACGTATCGTGTATAACGAAGTATAAATATTGTATGTATGCTCAGTACAGTTCTTGGAACAGAACTGGCCATGAATTGTTTATTTAATTCATATCTGTTTTTTACTTTGATCAAGTTATGTTCCTTCCATTCAAAAGCAATCTATAACAAGGTCATTTCGTCAGTTTTATTATAAAAATATTCTCTCGGAATCTCTATAAAAATATATCGATTTAAAGAAACGTGTAAGCATTACAGAAAAGGAAACAAAATAGGTTGTAGAAGATAATGAATGGTGAATATCGAAGTTCAGATCATGAAAGGTGTGCGATGACTGAAGGAAAAGAGAAGCAGATCCCGACACTCGAAGAAGGAAATCATTTTCCAGGTTGAGAGTAGAACTGTGTGGGGGCGGGGGCAGGGGCGGGCTGGGAGTACACCTGGGCAGGGGCAGGAGCAGGCTGGGAGTACACCTGGGTAGGGGCAGGGGCAGGCTGAGAGTAGACCTGGGCAGGGGCACTTGGGTACTGTGCCTCGCCCTCGAAGGTGACTGTGGGGTGGAAGCCGCTGGCGTCAGAGTAGTAGTCGACCCTCATGCGGCGAGAGTCAGGCAGCTGGACGTAGTAGCTGGGGATGCAGAAGATATATCACTTTTAAAAGAATCCTGCTGACTGGGTTGTTTGTTCATGAACATTGCAATTCATGTCCTTGCCATATAAGAAATAAAAAAAAAGACTTTTCAAATTTATGTGTAATTAAAATAGTTGAGCCTGGCCCGGTAAGACCTTTCTTTGTGAAATGATCTCAGTATTTTCCGGTCCAGACTGACGACTATCTCCCCGCCTCACCTGCCCTGAGTGTTGTCGCCGTCGCGCTGTTCCTGTTGGCCGTAGAAGTTGCCGGAATACTGGTCGTTGACGTCCCACTGGAAGTTGTACTGGGCGGGCACCGACGGGTACTCGGGCTGCTGAACCACGGGCGCCTGGTAGTTGTAGCCGCCCTGGGGAGCCGCCCACGCCGCCGCCACCACACACAGAACTACTGCTGCCTAAACAGCCAGAGAAAGTACCAATAACGAAGTGATCTATCTCTTTCATTTTACTCTCATATGAATTGCAACTTACATTCCTCGGCCCATTCAGATACTATACCCACTTGGAGGAGAGCTTTACTATGTTCGCAATGCTTCTTTTTCCATCTATTTTAAACTTTCAACTCTTTGCCATACAACGCTTTTTTCACTCCCCTAAACATATATAGCAAGATCTTTATCATACTATTTCAGTGCATATTTAAAGTAAAGTTCTTTTTGAGCGCGAGTACCTTCATGTTTCTCCTTTGCTGGTCCGTTGGGAACTGATGCCTCGTCTCTGGTTCCTTTCCCCTTATATAGTACGCCGCTTGCCAAGGGGGGGGGGGGCGCGACCTTTGCATCTTAGGCGAAGGTCTTTAATGAATCCACTCTGACGAGACAAACACATGTGGGATAACTGGCATTGCATCCAGCTTTTGAATTGGAT